CTAGATTTGAACAGTGTTATTTCTCTACTTTCAGTTTTTAAAAACTACAGGTATTTATGGGTATCTGGTATACACACAGTGAGTTATGAGAGAGGAGGGATGCTCTCTTCAAGGTACACAAACAGGAGGAAATACCAGCTCCTAGCTCCCTGCTTAGCTTTTCATTCAATAATTCTTCTCTATAAGTAATAACTGTAGCATCACCTGCAAAATTTAGTGTTTTGGTCTGATGAGAAGACGTTAGGATCATTATGGAGGAGAGGAACACTGGATTGTATATGGGAATAGAGGAATCTCATGCAGAAACAGACTCATGGACTACAACACTGGTTTATACCCATTCTCTACGGATGAGAGGAAGAACAGGTAAGTAAGAATTCCAGGAAATATATTTGTGTTGGACTGTTCCACAACTAAGGAGCAGTGACACAAAGGACAAAGACTGTCTTGACCTTTGGATGGCCAAGCCAAAATGTTATGGAGAGGTGCAGCCCTGTGGGACATGGATCACCCACGTGGTACAAACCACTCCTTCCGCTGGCAGCACGGCTGGCTGCAGGCTGCCCTTCTCGTGTTCTGCTGCAACTGGGCTGAGATGGCAGCTGACCGGTGCGTACCTCTGGGAATGCAAACTCTGCTCCACAGACTGTGACTTTGGCAGCAGCTGCCAGGGATGAGCAAACAGGCCAGGTAAGAAGCACTGCAACCAGAGCATCCGTTGCATCCTGAACAGCTCTGGTACGGCGCGCCCGGGCCTGGGATCACACCATGCAGAGACATCTGCTCACAGCATGGGCACAGGCCAGCTATTTTTGTTAAGTGCTGTTTCTAGGAAACCTGAAAATGTGGTACTGTGTCTTGGCTGTGTTTGCCTCCCCGTTTTCCATACAGCAGATGGCAGCATTTGAACTGAAGTACAGGAACAGCACTCAGTGGATGAAGGATTTATTTTTTTCTACAAGAACAGTTTACTCAAAGGAAACATTTGTTTCAGTCATTCACAGTGTTCTGAAATATACTAAAAACAAAATGGCTACCTAAATGATATAATTCATATATTACATTTCAATATTTAAAATAATGCTTGCAAATAACAATACAATTAAATTCTATGATCTTTGAAATTGGTATCTATTTCTCTGTTAATATTTCAATTGTTTTGCACATTTGGACAGCCATATTACCGACAGTTAAAATGCTGATAAGAAGTGGTGGAACAATATAAACTCTCCCAGATGCTCTGCCTTCCATATATGACCCATAAATCTGCAGTTCATTTGGGGTAAAATTTCAGTTTAATCTATTTACTGTGAGGCAAAAGTTGCTTTTTGACTTAATTTTCCATTTTACTAAAGCAGCAGAGTCCATTACCTCTGGTTACAAGAGTTAGATGAAAATTCCTAATTCGGAAAAATACTAAAAAGAAAAATCCAAAATTTCCAAGAAGATCTAAATGGAATGTTAAAAACCTATTAATAATAGTATTGTTAATTTTAAAATTAAAGTATGATTTAAATCTCCTCATATGATTTTTGTCTCTGGCAATACATTTTATGTTGGGTATCCTACCACAGTTAAAAATTTACAGTGTTATATGTTTGATCTGGGGTAATTACTTTATACTATTCAAGAAATAGAAATATTCATGCCACATAAATGTAGATGGTCCTGACAATATCCTTCTAACAATGTAACTGAGTAAGTGCTCAGTTGAAAACTCTGGGATTCCATTAATTTCAGATAAATGGGGGAGTATATTCATGTTTCAATCTTCATTTTTGGTAGGTTACAAAACGGATGAGAGAGACCCTCTCCACTGCACATTCCTGTGTAACTCTATGAAGTTGCAAAGCTTTCATTGACTTCCACTTTGAGAGGAATATGGAATCCCCTATGTGATCTAAGTATTTCTAAAGAACGAGGTGGTTGGACATTAATTCTAAGTCTCCCAACATTTTCTGTTAATTTTGTCTTCACGACAAAACACCTGTCACAGTAGGAACCCAATATCAGGGTTATGGGCCTGAACTGACTTATGAAATCAAAGTTTTGCTCTCTAGACAACAATAGCAAAAGCAGAAATTGGTATTGTGTATTTCAGGGAGAACAGATATGTTATTCTTCCTCAACTGCTGTACTTGAAACATGGTGACGAGTATTTGCTGGGTATTTAGAACACAAAAATAGTTCAACTCAAGATCTGTAAATTGGACCCTGTCCATAATACGTGAATACCAGAATAAATCAAATAGAACTTACCTTAACTTTCCCTGCATTTTCCTCCTCTTCCTTTTTTTCTTCAAATTCAAAGGCAACAGTCATACGTTGCTGTCTCTGCTCCTCCCATAAAGTAGGGTTAAAACTATCGCTGTCTGACTGGAAATCTACAGTTAAATTGCAAACAGCAATGCACAAGAAAAAGTTATTAGTGCACCCAACAGAAGATTGGAAATGATCTAAAAAGACGTGTTCATAGTTGATCCTGTAACCTTGGGTTATTGTTTTAAAACGATTGAGGGGGGCCATGAGGGTAGTAACTGACAAACCATTACAAACAGAGTTTAATATTAAAACTGAAATGAGAGTGATGGGAAGCAACAGGGTTTTGGAGTAGATCTGGAGCTGAGGGGCAAACTCACTAACTTAACACAGGTATGTTAGGAGCCAAACCCTCAATTCTGCCAGGCTGAGAGCTCTGAACCCCCCATGTCTAGGAGCTGGCCCACCCCCCAGCTCTCTCAGATGGGTCCAGTGCCTCTGCAGGTCGAGCTGGCTCTGGCCAACAGCCTGTCTGCATGGCAGCAAGTCATATCCTAGAATTTCTGTCCCATGCACACTCAATTCCCAGGTTCAAATTGTTTATACAAGCCCATTCTTCTGAAAATAAAAACGTGTTTAAGAAAATGTAAATCTGATGGCCTGCGAATAATGGATTTGCAAACAGGATTCCTTCATGTATGACAAAATATGCATGACTGTTATGTGTGCACCACTGGCTTTATGTGTCAGAAGAGACACTCACACACAGAACCACATCTGAAACCCCTTCCCCTCCCTCCCTCTATTTTTTTCTCCACTATCTGAACAAGCACTGTTCCTGCCTTTGTAGGAACTGCTGATGGCGTTTTACCTTCATCACCGCGGGGTTGCTGGGGAAACATGTAGTTAGTCAGTACTCTCTGCTTTGTTTCTGGGTGAGCCTCAGTTTGCAGTGGAATGAGAGCCTTGGACTGTACAGGAAAGGCAAAACAAAGAACTGTTAACTCAGAGCATGTGTGTTAACTGAGATGGGATTTTAGGATTTGATAAATAGAAAATACAAGATTAACTAAAATTCTGTATGAAAATAAACTTCTCTATGGACTAAACCAAGTATTACTGGTAGAAATGCCTCCTCTCCCATTCCTCACTTCTGTAATTCCTGTAATTCCTACTGGGATCAACAGAAGAACACTAAATATCAGAAATACCGACTGCATGTTCAGAGTCATACCAGTGAGGAAGCTAAAGGATCATCAGAACAGAGCTGCAACTACACAGTTAAAACACCCACATTATGGCTGTGATCTGTTTTAAGCTAGGGCTAATGAGGAGTAAATTCATGATAATTATTAGTTCATCTTGAGGGTAAACCTGGTGCAAGATACTGGAGAATTTACATGGAGGTACTCTGAATATTCAGATGTTACTGTTGTGTTTTACTTCAACTGATTATTTTTTATTATTGCTTTGCTCTAATGTAGCATCTAGGAGTGACTATCATAGTTCATAGAACAGAAATCAATCTATGCTATACCGTGGAAAAGTCTAAATGCTGAAAAAATATTGTATATTTAAAAGGAAGCGTATATTCTGTGGTTGGGCTGAGGAGTCATGCGATGTTATTTTTTAATGGAAATTAGAGTGGAAAAAATGAGAATCCTAATTTAACACATTAAAATTTACTCGTCATTTTCTATTATCCCTCCCAGTTAGTTTCCCCTCCCTTCAGCTTTAAAATTTTTTGCTTAGCTGTAAAGTAAACATTTAAGGAGCAGTGCAATACGTGTGTACCAATGTAAATCTATTGGCTGCATTTGGCTTTGCTATGATTTGAGGGCATGGCTGAATGGTATGTGCTGGTCAGGCGT